ATTTTTCACTAACCTGGTATTTTAAAATACATTGCTAACTAGCAGCAGATGTAACAAAAATTTGTATTTATTTAAGACTTTATAATGTATATCTGCTTTATCTCACTATCTTAGAAAAAACATCCAGTTTTATGAAAGTTTGCTTTAGCTGCAGTGGGTTATAATTATTGACTGAGGAAGCATCAAGTTGCATAAGTAAAGAGTATGCCCAAATGGGCAACAAACTCTATCATTTATTAAATTTTTCTTTCCTCTCAAAACAAAGGAAAAAGTAGTAAATTAGAAGTAGTAAATGCAAATTAAGAGTTAGAGCTGGTTGGAGCTGAATCTATGCAGTGAGATTTTTTATTTTTGCTTGTTTGCCTTATGTAAATAACTAACATTTTTAATTGTTTTCTCAGTAATGAAATCCTAATTTGCTTGTGGTCATTTTTCAGGGTAGGAGCACTTGCCATCTGATTTGTATCTGATTTGTTTGTTTCAAAAGCCCTTCAGAGTAATATCTGCATTAGGGATAGCTAACTTCTTTGGGCCCTACAGCCACTGTCTTCCCGGCAGGCTGTCTGGAGACCAGGCAAGTACAACAGGATGTTCGTACTATCAGCCTTCTGTTATCCAGCGTAATGAAAGACTAAAATCTCAGAAAAGACAACCCCCCTGACATTGCACAAACTATGGGATGTGCTGGCATGGAATACAGTAAAGAGTCATCTTGTGATGCAAGATCAGCTTGGATCCATAAAGTAGGGTATAAAGAAGAGGGAGCCAGGCTCTCTTCAGTGGTGCCCAGTGACAGGACCAGTGTGAGCACACATTGAAACACAGAAGGGTCCGGCTAAACATCAGGAAACACCTTCTCACTGTGAGGGTGACTAAGCACTGGCACAGGATGCCCAGAGAAGATGAGCATGGAGATTCGTGTAAGCATTCAAAAGCTGTCTGGACATGGTTCTGGGCAACCAGCTGTAGGGGGGGGGTTGGACCAGATGACCTCCAGAGGTCCCTTCCAACCTCAGCCGTTCTGTGGTTGTGTGATTAGAAGCTTTATTTCCGTGTCGGTCTTGAAGGTCCTTAAGGTATTCCAGCACCAGGAAGTGGGAGGTTATACAGTTCAGTTGCAACCTTGTATCTCAGCTGGCTCTGAGAACTATCCACATACCTTCATGTGTCTTAACTAATAAGGCTGGATGAGTCACAATGATTATGAGACAATCAGGCTAGCTACACACAGAGCCTATCAGATTTCTTAAACTCTGGCATAGTTAATTTGTAACCTAGACAAATCACTCATTGATATTTTAGAGTTTACAATATTTCTGATTGTTTCTGTAGTCTAGGTGAATCTGTCCATGAGTTAAATGGAATGTAAGAACTCAGTAGTTTATAAAGCCTGACCTATATTTTGTTCACGGTACAGTTCCTTCCATTAACACGTCATTGTTGTTTACTTTGTTGTTGTGATTTTACCATTCTAAGCAGCATCCCAACACCATTGCATAATTAAACTTTATTATTCTGTTGCCAGTATGTTCAGAAACTGATTTTTGGAATTATATGGATGCGATTATTCTTTCTAGTCAAATTCTTCAGTGTTTTAATGATTCAGATTGCCATCTCTGTGTCCAGGATATTTTCTTGGGATGTTAACTATCCCTGTAGAATCATACCAAATTAAGGTGACTTCACAAAAAATATGAAAGGAATGGACATGAGTTACTTTGTGTTATACAAAACTGTAATTGTGATGTGATTTCTTTTTCATTATAATACCTTACACACAAATATAAATGTTTGCTTGAGAAGAATTAAAAAGGTACTTTGACAGGTGTCAGCTTCTATCCAATAGTTTCTTCTAGTTAAAAAAGAAATATTATGGTAGAAATAAACAAAAGAAGCTTATGCTGTAGAATGTCAGTTTATTGCATAATAGACAATCTATTAAATATGTTACAGTATATCAATTTATGATACACTTGCTTTTATGCAGTAGCAGTGTTTTAAGTAATGAATTAGGTTTATTAATTCTCATAATCTAGTACTTTCTAAGCATATTTTTAAGGAATAAGTAAACCATAAAAGAATTGCTACTCTCTATCTTACCTCTGCTTTAGAACAAAGCATCAGAAATGGTGTGGCCAGCAGGAGGAGGGAAGTGATCGTGCCCCTGTACTCGGCACTGGTGAGGCCGCACCTCGAATACTGTGTTCAGTTTTGGGCCCCTCACTACAAGAAGGATGTTGAGATCTTGGAGCGTAGCCAGAGAAGGGCAACGAGGCTGGTGAAGGGTCTGGAGAACAAGTCTTATGAGGAGCGGCTGAGGGAACTGGGGTTGTTTAACCTGGAGAAAAGGAGGCTGAGGGGAGACCTCATCGCTCTCTACAACTCCCTGAAAGGAGGTTGTAGCGAGGTGGGTGTTGGTCTCTTCTCCCAAGTAACTGGCGAAAGGACGAGAGGAAATGGCCTCAAGTTGCGCCAGGGGAGGTTTAGAATGGATGTGAGGAAAAATTTCTTTACTGAAAGAGTAGTTAAACATTGGAACAGGCTGCCCAGGGAAGTGGTTGAGTCACCATCCCTGGAAGTATTTAAAAGACGGGTAGATGAGGCACTTAGGGACATGGTTTAGTGGGCATGGTGGTGTTGGGTTGACGGTTGGACTCGATGATCTTAGAGGTCTCTTCCAACCTTAATGATTCTATGATTCTATGAAAGATTAAACAAAGCAATCTCTAGAACTTATTTTGGAGCTTTCAGCTAGAAGAAGTAATGAAAAACACGTGCCAACTTAAATAACTTAAAATGTATCTTGCAAAATGTCACAAAAATGACATATACTTAATTTTTTTAAAAAGTCTTCAACTTTTTATGCTGTGTTAGGTTTCATCCATGGGGTTCTTCCATCATTCTCTGACTGCACAAACATTTGTGCCAAGATAAGAAAATAAGCAACAGAGGGTTGGGAAAGGGTAGACATGGTGAAAAAAATCTGCTTTTGGTGCCAGTGCAGGTCTATGTCAGCATATGTGAACTATGACTCTCTTACCCAAATCCCCAAAAATGTTAAGCATTGAGCAATCCCACATAGAAAGTACATCTTTTGTTAAGACAGATCTGTAGATCTGTATCCTTCTGTTAGCCAAACTAAGAACTGATTGTTAGCAGCATTTTAAGAGCCTGTTGTTTGCTTCAGTTATGATGTGACCTTAAAGAGCTAAACTTCAAGTCAGGATGCTCATAAGCTTCATGCCCTGCAAACTGAGTGAGTGCTTAACCAGCTGAGGTGCCAGAAAGGTCACTTTTTCTGGGGACCTGAGGCAGCTGTTTTGTTAAGTCCTGTGTAGGTGAATGGATAAGCAGAGCCTGTGTCCAGAGGGAATATCAACCAGTCAAAGGAATTAACAGCAGAAAATCTAAAAGTCCATAGACCTAACTGGTTATGATTCCAGCAGAACAGTCAGGCAATTTTCCCATGCTGGAAAGCTCTAAGTAGAGGCCCATTAGGAGGAAGGAGGAGTTTAGATAGATACTATTAGTAGTTGGAATCACGCAAGTTTTTTATTTTGAGTCTTGTAAAATATCAATCCCTTTTCCTTTTGATTTTGTATACTGATTCAGCTGCTTGCATATAGCTTCCCCTGCATTTCAAAAAAATAGCTTTGCATTAAAAGCTTCCTCATCGTACAGACTTCAGGGTGATAACAAGGTTATCTTCCTTTCCACTTTTCTCCATGTGCTCACAAGAAAAAAAAAAAGAAAAAAAAAAAGAAAAAAAGTGCCTAAGCACTGGAATATTTGGCTGATCTGGTGCTTTGGTCCATGCTTTGATGTTCTAATGCTGTTTTATTGGTTCTACTGTTCCAAGGACCATACAAACCCCTTAGTGTTAGAGAACATTGACAGTAAAATTTAAAGTCTTTGGACTATTTTCAATCCTTGTTTAAATTAGGATTTGATTCCTTTTTTAGTCAAGGAAGCAGAAGCCAGGCCAGGGAACTGGAAATACACTTTTGGATTAATTTTGATCTGGAAGCAGATAGAAGTGGGGCTTTGATGGTCTAAGAATAAACTCCAGTTGCTTGTTTAGGAGGGCTGTAGCTTCTGAGCCAATGTCTTACAGAAGAAAGGCTTCTCTTAAATCATTACGCAGTTGTAATGAAAGGTCTTCTCTTTCTTCGTCTGGCCAAATGTAGCCATGGTATGGATTAAAGGAAACCATAGTATGAGACACAGGTTCTAGAAGTCCATTTGGTGAATCTACACCTTAACATTACAGCCATCACTAAACCTGTGTAATCAATGCCCAGCCTCCTCATTTTTTCATTGCTGATTTAAATTTCTCTGGCTTTAAGTTTCATGCTTTCATGTTATACCTTTGGATTTTATTATATTCTTGCTAAATGGAAGAGCTATTTAGTACCCTGTCAAGGTACTTAAACCCTATAATTAATCTTCATCTGATAGATTAAGACAAAGAATCCTTTGTATCTCTTGCTGTTGGGTACTTTTCCAGGTCTCCATTTGTACTTGTGATTGCTCTTTTATCCAATTTGCCTGTGTATAGTGATTGTATGTCTACAGTTCAGTTTAAATAGTTGTATTTAATGCATGTTTTTTTAGAATTCATGTGTGTGTGTGTGCATGCATGTGTATGACATAATATCCTATCAGCTCTACATTTACCTGCAAAGCTAAGCAGAACTAAAGTTTCCTCCTGTTATTTCAGTCTGACGTATCTTCCCCCCATTTTCCCCTCTCAGCATGGAAGACCTCTTTGCTTTATCCTTTGCTCTCAGAAACAACATGAAAAATCTGGTTATGTCGTCTTAGAAAATAGTGCTAATTACTGTGTTCAGATTTTCTTTTCCATCACCATTGTAAAAGGTCTTTTATTTGAGAGCCTACATCTGCATTCTGGACCCGGTGGTGTTGTATGAAATATACTATGCTGAAGATGGCACATTGTTTTCTGACTCTAATGGAATGTACTTTTTTCATTTTTACAGAGTACCAAGCTGCCATTTTGCATTTAAAGAGGGAACACAAAGAAGAAATTGAAACATTAAAGGTATACTTTTTTAATGATTTTTTTTTTCTTTCCCTGACTCTAGTGCATTTTACAGATTTAAGTAGTGCAAACATATACTTTTCATCAAATATTAAGAATTGTTTCTTTCTAAAAGTTGTTTTCAGCTGACTGCCAACTCAGTTAAAACTAATCTAGTTAAAATCCATACATGTACTCATATATGATGGCAAAAAGCAGTTTTACATGTTTCCCCCCTGTAGTTTTGCTTACTGTTGTACTTTTAAATTCTGCCCTCTAACTGAGCAGTGCAGTGCTTTTACTTTTGCTTATTATGTTAAGGCATTTTCACTCTTTCTCAGTGAAACATACTTCTGTACAAGCAGTGTTCTGTAATTTTAGACTGAAAAATAAGCATGGTAATTCCATTTGTGAGACTCTGAAATTTTGTATTGCACACTCTTTATTGATGTCTGGTTTTGTAAGTGTAAACTTGACCAACCGTCTAATTGTCAAAATCAGAAATAACAAAGTTTAATATTAGAACTCACTTTCCCTTGGCATGATTGACTCTGCTAAGCAAAGTGAAATATTACAAGGAAGTGTTTTTATCATAAAAGCAGGATACTTAAATGGCAGTATAACTTAAAGTGAATTTGCTGAGCAGTCTTAGTTTAAAGAAAAATTAACAGCATCTTCCTTTTCTCACCAATTGTGATATAGTCTTAAGCATAGCTGCAATGTGTTCTAATACAGGTCCATATTATAAATCCTTAGTATACAAGTCATCAAGTACAAAACATTCCATATTTCTTTGTCATCGTTAAGGCAATTAGAATGGAAAAAACCAAATTTACTAACACGGGGAGTCTGAGAATCCAGTATATTGATACATTGACCATGTCATTAGGTAGATCACATATAGGAATCATCAGACTAGTACAAGTACGGTATTTGTATTACACAGAGTATTTATGTCTTTGTCTCTGCACAAAGGCCAGGACATAATGGACATAAAACCTACGAAGTTGAGAAAGCTCGGTGAGGTCTTTGAGTAGTCAGGGGTGGAATGATGGTAGCAGCTTGTGGAGTGGACAGGACAGGCAAAGAGTCACTGGTGTGTGCAGCATCTCTTAAAATTCAGCACAGAGAAATGCAAGCTAGCACTAAAGTAAATACAACAGTAATGTACAGTAAATGTTATTAATAATAACTCTTACAAATAATAGTGTAACTCTCCCACACAAGAACAGTAGGTGGATGCAAGGGGGATTTATTCATTTTGAGGGGGTATATCAGAGAATACATAATCTCAATGAAAGAGAAAAATGTGTTTGTGCATCTCCAGCAACCCTGGAAACAGTAGAGGCAGAGGAGACGGGTATATGTCTCCTTTGTCAACTTCCAATGAGATAAACATTCTCTTTTAAATCAGATTATTATTTTTTATCTGGATTATTTGAGTTATCCTCAAATATCATGTCTTAATGATTAATTGTGTTTATATGTTATCTTGTTTAGTAAGGAAAATGTGAGTGGGTTGTTTCCAGAAAAGTGAAATTGTGAGGTAACTTTCAGCACCATAAAATCTCACCATTTTATGTATCTATGTAAATATAATTAGAAATGAGCTAAAATGCAAATATTTGCTGTCCATGATTAGTAGAAGACTTATGCATTCTTAGCAGCAATGAAATACAGATCATGTTTGCTTATATCGCATGCATTTGGCGATTATTTTCATGTTTGGTATGTTTTTTTCTTGTACTATGTAGTTCCAAAGGCAAACCAGAAATGGTGATATGAATGGTTTGTAGGACTTTTAGGTAACATCAGTGAAGTGTAAGGTCTACATCATGATGATCAGAAAAATAATTGATTCAGAAAAATAATACTTATGTTTATTGTATGCATGACAGAATTCAAACAAGATTTTTGGATTTCCATTTTGGAGTTACTCGTAAGTTACTGGAGACCTTGCACAGAGTTCTGTTTGTAAGTTTGTAAGACTGATGATTCGAGATATAACGTGATTTTTCATTTTACAATATTGAAGGACATAAAAGCTTCCTATACTGAAGGCCAGCTGAGGCAAGTACCCTGTCTCCAGCAGTGACCAGCAGTGGGTGCTTAGAAAACACATATAAGAAATACAGAGTGTAAGGGTAATGTCTTCCTCCTGTATGGTGCTTTTTGTTTTGATTTGGGGTTTTTGGCAAGTCTGAGTGTCTTCATTGTCTCTTCCTTGTTGCTTCTGCTACCACCGCTTCCATGCCCCTTCCTTACAGCGTACTGCTTGATTTTTGGACCTCAGCCCAGCCTGGTGTGAACCATCAGGTTCATAAAAGATGCATAGTGGCTAAATTACTGAGAAATGTTTCCCTAGTATACCATTTCCAGCAATTAGTGTTTTAAGAGTTTCCTGAAACAGAGTTTGCACACAGGTTATGGTATATAGTACTGATGAATAAATTATAGTATCACATGCTTCCGTGACTTCTGAATGCTATGCCATCTGAGTAGTGTTCTTGTTCTTTTTCTGTATGTCCTTGACAATGAATTCCTTGTACTAGAATGTGAACTGTCATAGATACCTCCTTTTTGTTTGTACAGTTGTTTTGGAGCTGTTTATTTCTCTGGAATGTGTAGAATGCCATGTGAAAATTTCTATATAGTGCCAGACTAATAATCTAAAAAACATTTAGGCTGAAAATATTAAATTCCTATATCCTTGATATGTCCTGTGTCCAAAGAAGGTCAACGCTCAGTTATTCATTTTGTGAAGAGAATGTCAAATCTTACCGCAGCATGTTATTTTTTATAGTCGGTGAAATCTGAGAGTCAGGTGCTGCTGCTACATGGTCCTGCTGCTTTGGTAAATCATAAATTTGTTAGTTTTGCTTCTAAGTTTTAGTAGTTTTCTAAATTAAAGGGTGTAATTTCAAACTTTTTTTCCCCTTTTTTTATAGCCTGTCTACTTTAAGAGGTTCTTTCTCCTGTGTCACTGATGTTCAAACATTTTAAAGAACAGAATTTTTTTCTCCACATCTCTGTTGTTAGCCTTTATTATTTTGTCTTTAATTTCAGAGGAATTTTTCCTGGGTTTTGTGATTAATTTAAAAATTATTGCTTTTCCCTGAAATCGCTTGTCTGTAATATTTAAATATAACAGCAAAGGGACATGATTTTTTTTCATTCTTTATGTTACCAGCATTTGTACTGGTAAAAATGGAATGCATTAGAGAAGGCCAGACATTGTCTGTGTACTCTCTTTCTTGTGGTTTTTCATTATTTGAAGGAAGGGAAAGATATATTTTAAGGTGAAAAATATGAATTACTACATACTGCTGTACATATGGAACTTTACATTATAAAATTTCATATGGGAACATACAGGGAAGTAAAATTGTGTTGTGATTTAGGGTAATAACTCGTTGCATTTTATTCTTTAAGTGTATAACAGAAAAAAATATGGTGATAAATATCCCAACTATTGGAAATGCTTGGGTTAAATGTGATTTTGTACTATGCACTGAAGGAACCTACAGACAGAAATTTCTCTGAACCAGTTCTTTTGCAAACGGATCCAAATCCCATATTTTGTATTTATGAAGAAGGTTGATCATCATACCTTCTCTGTAAAAGATTAGGAGTGAGACCCTTATTCTTTGTTATTCCTAAAATGCCTAGAAAAATCTTTAGGAGCCCTGGAAGGTATGTGTAGGGGAAAGTTCTCAAAAAAATTATTAAACCGTGCTCTGAAGGTGAAAGCAAGCAAAGTTATCCAGAATCTGTCCCTTGAAACCTGTACATAGTGGCTTATGAGTGAGTGATCTGTTTATTCTTTAGCAATAGAAAGTGTCCTATACTTCTGTACTGTTTCTTTTGGAAGTTATTTTTTTCCTTGACTATGTGAATGAAATTCCTAATGGATTTTTATTCTTTAAGATTTGTTATTGCTATGTTCATTTCAGAAGAGTACAACCAGAGCTTTACCCATACCACCAGTTTAAAAGGGTTGGTGCTGATTCTGTAGACAGTTGAAGTTGCAGTGAATGTAGCGGTCTTGAAGGATGTAAAACAATCACTGGAGGGAGAGGGTGAATGACAGTATTCTGTTTATTTTGGGCGGCAGTGTTGATCTGCTCGAGGGTAGGAAGGCTCTGCAGAGGGACCTGGACAGGCTGGATCGATGGGCCGAGGCCAACTGTATGAGCTTCAACAAGGCCAAGTGCCGGGTCCTGCACTTAGGCCACAACAACCCCATGCAGCGCTACAGGCTTGTGGAAGAGTGGCTGGAAAGCTGCCTGGAGGAAAAGGACCTGGGGGTGTTGGTCGACAGCCAGCTGAACATGAGCCGGCAGTGTGCCCAGGCGGCCAAGAAGGCCAATGGCATCCTGGCCTGTATCAGAAATAGTGTGACCAGCAGGAGCAGGGAAGTGATCGTGCCCCTGTACTCGGCACTGGTGAGGCCGCACCTCGAATACTGTGTTCAGTTTTGGGCCCCTCACTACAAGAAGGATGTTGAGATGTTGGAACGTGTCCAGAGAAGGGCATCGAGGCTGGTGAGGGGTCTGGAGAACAAGTCTTATGAGGAGCGGCTGAGGGAGCTGGGGTTGTTTAACCTGGAGAAAAGGAGGCTGAGGGGAGACCTCATCGCTCTCTACAACTACCTGAAAGGAGGTTGTAGCAAGGTGGGTGCTGGTCTCTTCTCCCAAGTAACTGGCAAAAGGACGAGAGGAAATGGCCTCAAGTTGCGCCAGGGGAGGTTTAGATTGGATGTGAGGAAAAATTTCTTTACTGAAAGAGTGGTTAAACATTGGAACAGGCTGCCCAGGGAAGTGGTTGAGTCACCATCCCTGGAAGTATTTAAAAGACGGGTAGATGAGGCGCTTAGGGACATGGTTTAGTGGGCATGATGGTGTTGGGTTGACGGTTGGACTCGATGATCTTGGAGGTCTCTTCCAACCTTAATGATTCTATGATTCTATGATTCTATGATTTTATGTTGCCGTCTTTATGTTATCACAGTAACTTGAAAC